CCGTTCCACGTGGTCTGCGGCCATTTTTCCGCCCGTGCCACGTGGTCCGCGGCCATTTTTCCACCCATTCCACGTGGTCCGCGGCCGTTTTTCCGCCCTGTCGCATGGTCAGTGGCCGTTTTTCCACCTCTGACGCGTGGTCCGCGGACGCCGGAACGGATTAACGGTAATTACATTGAACCTTATGGGAAAATTTACTTCAACTTGTGACCAACTCGACTTGCGATCAGAGTCACGGAACAGATTAAGTTCGTAAGTAGAGGTACCACTGTATAGCCCTGCAGAATCTTAGCACACGTAACAGTGGAACCCAAAGATTGTTTTGTGAGAACAAGGACAACCCATTTAGGTATCAGTCTGGGACTATACATATATTTCACTTCAGGTGAGTGTGCAAATCATCACAATAACTGGGGAAAAAAAGCAGGAAACAATTGATATCTGATTTAACAGGATTTAGACAACTTATAAAGAGATGAGGATAGCCAAGTGAAACAGCATAAGGTAGCACTTGCAAGAGCCTTAAATGACAGCAATAGAAATGTCTAGAATTTTCTAGAACTGCCAAGCCTTTCTGGATTCTGGATTACTACATACATTTGTACTCGTCTAAATAATGTTCTTACACAGCTCCTCTTGTGGGAAGTTGTTTCTAGAAATTTCTAGAACTGTCTTTGTCAGCCTTTCTAGGTAGACCAGACAGGAAACATGACCAGATGAGCTAATTCTACTTTATTGTAAGGCTACATTAACAGATTCTTGTAAGTCTGAAAGTACAAATCTCCTGCCCTCTCTTTTATAGCCAAAGACACGGGGGGGGGGGGGTCTCTTCTGAGCCTTTTGCTCTTCCCACTATACAATTGTGGGCTATGCCCTCTCTTATCTGACCATTTCTTAGGCAGCATCTCTTTGTCCCATCTCCCAAGGTCTTTCCCACATACCATTACCATCTGTCTGTCTATCTATCTAGAACTCTGCAACAATCAGTAAGGAAAACAAGCATGTTTGCTATTTAATATATTGAGGTTGTATTTTTAGTGCCAGGGAAGAAGAAAAAAACACTTGTACATTCATCTTGAGCAAACTAAACATACTATATATGTGAGATCATACGGAGAAAGGCTAGTTCCGCCTCAACTGATTGACTCAGCTATTTTTCCATTACCTTGACTGTTTCTGGCCAATGTCTTGCTTTTCAGTTTCAGAGCCTTCAGATCTCTTGCCTTCCCTAAGAGGCATCATGGGGCTAACTACAGAGCAATCAATAAGTCTTCGCATATATTCCTTCTTTAAAGCAAATAATTCTGTGCTAGGAGCACATGTTTAAGGCTAGTGATAGTCAAGCATGCAGAAGGGTTTTACCCTTCCATCCTGTGCTGCAGACTGGATGAAAATCAACTTGCCTTTGGAGGAAAGTTATCATGGGCGCCACGGATGCTTGTTCACATATATTGTATTTGGGTGGTTAACGGTGTTGAGACTGGAATCAGGAGAACCAAGATTCAGCTCAACTCTTGACCATGGAGCTGACAGGGTAGTTTTGTACAGTCAGTCTGTCCCTCAATCTATCTTGCCAGATTGTAGAAGGGAAAAACATTGTGTCACTTTGAGCTTTTAAATAAAAGGAGAATGATTGGTTATCACTCTCCTTCCCCTTTTAATTTCATGTCCCAAACCTCTGCAGGATTTTTTAAAAATTTATTTATTTTGAGACAAACAGCAACTCTTTTAAAGGTATGGACTAGAAACACAGAGTTTTGGTTGGTTATATCACTGTACTGGGGGGCAGTGGCAATACATTTGGAGTCAGGCAGCCAATAAATTTAAACAAATAAATAAATAAATAATGGCAAGATGTGGTTATCTCAATGTGATCAAATTCACAGCAGCATGATCAACACTGACACACTTATAAAAAGGGGAGGGCTTCAATTATGCCACCAGAACTGCTAGTTTGCCTTTTTTGGACTCCCTGGACACCCCTAATCGATCATCAAAAAAACAAAAACCCAGATCCGCAATAATTTTATATCTATCTATCTATCTATCTATCTATCTATCTATCTATCTATCTATCTATCTATATCAATAGATATAAAATTTTATATCTATATCTATCTATCTAATTTTATACCTATCTATACACAC